AACTTCCTTATCTTCAATGAGCTTAAAGTATAACTGAAGAGATAAGACCTAAAAGCATGAAAAGATAATTAATGTTCCAAGGAAGTACGTGGTAAGTGCCAAAGTTAACAGGAAGTAGGCCAAGACAAGGATATGATGATCAGGGGTGACAAAACCCTAACTGGTCTCCATGGGTGGTTAGTCATACCTTAAAAATGTCATCCCTACTCCCAAGGTCACCTGCCAATGGCCCTGAGCCCTCATTTCCTCCCCACACTCCACTTCCTATTCCTTTTGACTTCTCCACCATGCTCCCAGGAAAGTTATGATAGGGAAATCTCATTATCCTGCAAGACGGAATCAGCCTTAGCAATCATACCTTAACAATAATGTCTGTCCCTCTAACTACAGTATAGAGCCATGAATTCTTTCTTTCTTTCTTTCTTTTTTTCTTCCTTCCTTCCTTCCTATCTTTCCTTTTTCTCTCTCTTTCTTTCTGTCTTCCTTTCTTTCTTTCATCTTTATTTTTCTTTCTTTCTTCCTTCTTTTTTTCTTCCTTCTTTCCTTCCTTTTCTTTCTTCATTCATTGATTCACTCATTTGTTTATTTGTAATACACTTTTATATTATATGTGTGTGTGTTTGCCATGAATTTCTAAACCTCTATTTGAGAAGGGAGCCTGGGATAGCCATCTCCTCATTTTCCGTCTGGCTGTCCTCCTTTTGGACTTCTTTGACTTCTCCATCATGTCTCCATATCAGGTACCTTTTTTTGTTCTCTTTCTAGTCAACAGTCAATAAAAAATGTATTAAGGGTCTACTATGTACCAGGCACTATGCTAAACTCTAGAGGTACAAAATGAATCAAAAAAGAGTTCCAGCCCTCAAGGAACTTACAATCTAATGGGGGAGACAATAAGCAAACAAATATTTATAAACAAGCTATATATGCAGGATAAATAGGAATAAATAAAAGAGGGAAGGCACTTGGTTGGAAAATGCTTCCTGTAGAACATGGGATTTTAGTTGATTTAAAGAAAGTCAGGGAAGCCAGAGACAGAGATGAGAAAGGAGAACATTCCAGGCATGGGGGACAACCAGAGAAGATACCTGGAGCCAAGAGATAGAATGTCATGTTGTAAAACAGCAAAGAGGGCAGTGTTATTGGCTTGAAGAGTAGGTGGCAGAAGTGGGGAAGCAAGGTATAAAAAGACTGCAAAGACAGGAAAGACTAGGTTATAAAGGGTTTTTAATGCCAAATAGAGCATTTTTGTATTTGCTCCTGGAGGAGACAGGGAATCACTGGAATTTGTTGAGTAAGGAAGTGACATGTTCAGATGACTTTAAGGAAAACCACTTTGGTGACTGGATGGAAAATTGTTGGAATGGGGAGAAACTGAAGCAAGCAGCTTTCCCCTTCCCAACAGGCTATTGCAGTAGTTCAAACATGAGGGAATGAGGTCTTGCACCAGAGTGGTAGCAGCCCCAGAGGAGAGACAGAAGTGTATTCCGTGTTGTAAAGAGGAGATCAATACATCTTGCTAATAGACTGAATATGAGGGTAAGAGATAGTGAGGAGTCTAGGGTGACACATGGGTTGCAAACCTGAGGAACTGTGAGGATGATGTTGCCCAGGGTTTAAGGGGAAAAGATAATGAGTTCTGTCTTGGACACATTGCATTTAAGATGTCTACTAGACATCCAGTTTCAGGTGTCTGAAAGACAATTGGAGATGTGAGATTGGAGGTCAGAGAGTTTAGGTCAGGATAGACATATTTGCGAAATGTCAGCCTAGAGATGGTAATCAAACCTATGGGAACTGATGAGATCACTAAGTGAACTAGTATGGAGGGAAAAGAGAAGAGGTACCTGGACAGATCCCTGAGGAACACCTATGGTTAAAGAGTGTGATCTGGATGAGAATCTAGTAAAGGAGACAAAGAAGGAGCCAGATAGGTGGGAGGAGAACCAGGAGAGAATAGTGTCCCAAAAACACATAAAGAAGAGAATGTCAGGGAGGAGAGAGTGACCAACAGTGTCAAAGGCTGTAAAGAGGTCAAGGAGAATGAAAACTGAGAAAAAGCCATTGAATTTGGCATCTAAAAGACCATTGGTAACTTTGGAAAGAGCAGTTTTAATGAAATGATGGGATTGGAAGCCAGATTGTAAAAGGTTAAGAAGAGAGAGAATGGAAAGAAAGTGTTTTCTTTTGTGTGTTGTCTTCACCCATTAGATTGTAAGCTCCTTGAGGGCAGGGATTATCTTTGTTTTTTCATATTTGTATCTCCGTTGCATAGCACAGCGCCTGGCACATAGTAGGTAAATGTTTACTAACTGACTGCTGGAATAATCATTGAAAATTCAAGCTCACCTCCCCACCATAATGAGACATTGAAGGAGGAAGAGGAGAGAGGGAAAGACTTTAGTGGAAGCCAGGATTATGAAAGAAGAAATGCCAAAAACTTTAAGCACCTGATTCACACACTTGAGTTTCATAGATCATGAGCTCCCTGAGTGCAGGGCCTGGGTCTTACTTCATCTTTACATGACTATCACCTCACAGAATGCCTTCCTCGCACATAGCAGGTGCTTCACAGTTTGTGTTTGACCTCAACTTTCTAAATACAACTTTGTCAGACAGATCAAAGGGAGAGAGCCAGAAGGACTTCAGAGACCATTTAGTCCTCCAAAACCTCCTCATTTTACAGATATGGAAAATCAGACCCATTATGACATGAAGTGGCTTGCCCAAAGTCATATAGAAAGTCAGCAAAAGAGGCACAGTTTGAACCCAGGTCCTATGATTCCAGAGCCAATATTCTTTCACTGTACCATGTTGCCTCCCCAACATTAAATCACAATAAATAGAGTGCTGAACCTGGAGTCAGGAAGACCTGAGTTCAAATCCAACTTCAGATACTTACTAGCTATGTGACCTTGGGCAAGTCACAAGTTTGCCTTAGTTTCCTAAACTGTAAAATGGAGATGATAATAATAGCGCCTACCTCCCTGGGTTGCTGAGATGATCAAATGAGATAATATTTATAAAGTGCTGGCATATTGTAGGCATTTAATAAATCCTTGTTCCTCTTGTCCCTTCCCTTCCCTTGTGTGGTGATTCTATATAAGCAAAATTGTTGAGTTGGGATGTTTCTAAAGGCATTCCCTCAAACATGAGGGAATGAGGGCTTGCACCAGAGTGGTAGCAGCCTCAGAGGAGAGACAGAAGTGTATTCCATGTTGTAAAGAGGAAATCAATACGTCTTGCTAATAGACACTACCTGCACACACTATTCTGTCTGTAGGGAGGAAGTATGGTACAGTGGGAAGAAATTATAGACTTGAGAAAGGAAGACCTGGGTTTTAGTTTGGGTCCTGGTGATTGTTAGCAGGCAATTTGTTTCACCTGCCTAGACCTCAACTGCTTGATCTGTGATAATACTTGCCTAGTCTATTTCACAGGCCAATAGTGAGGTTCCAATGAGATCTGACTCCAAATTCAGTGCTTTTCCTATCATGTTATGTAGCTTCTCTTAACAGACCAAAGAAATTCATGAAGTGCTTTGTGATTACAAAGAGCTATGTAAATGCGACATACTCATATTGGCATTGTAAGCCAGTCTCAAAACACTTTGGTATCAAAACCTCTCCTTTTTGGTAGAAACCAAAACCCTGCACCTGCATGAGGGACATGGAGGGGTTGTAAAGAATAGGAGAGAGTGAGAATCTTAGATCTTGCCCAAGGGGAAGTTCCATGGAGTCTTTAGAGTAATAAGCTGACTATAGGGACATGATGAAGACTGGCTGCTCCTCTCATGTTCACTTCTTCCCAGAGTCTTTTCCTTGAACTTGAAATGGTGTTGGCCTCTTCCATCTTCTCTCTATAAGCTGGAAGCTAGAAGCCCCCAGTGCAATAGCTGAACCCAAAGAGTCTAAAGAGATTCCAAGAACCCAAAGAAGATTGAAGAGTTCTCTCTTTGGCTCTCACCAACTCTGCCTCACCCCTCACATAGTCAAGGAGCATTGATCTCCACCAATAAGGAGAGAAGCCATACCAATGGGCTTTGGGACTGGGGTTACAGTAGCATTAGTGGAAGATGTGATTTGAGATTAAATGCCCTCCTCCACTCAGAATTTTGCTTTACCCAATCAACCAACAAGAATTTATCAAGTACCTACTATATGCCAGGCACCGTTCCAGGCACCATGGGACAAAAAAAAAATCCCTGCCCTTAAGAAGTTTATATTTTGTCATGGAAGCCATCACTCTGTAGAGAAGGCAGATAATGGGGGCAGGAAATTATCTCGTTCAATTGTCTTAGATGACTGAGCAGCCATGAAGTTGGAGTTATAGGACCTAGGTTCAAATCCCAAGTCTTCTCTTTTCCAGTTCTGTGCCTCTTGTCTAGTCACTTAACTCCTCTGGGACCCAGCGAACCAGGCAATCTCTAAGGTCTTTTCTAGGTCTAAATTGTCTAATCCGCAGGTTAGGCCTTCCCTGACCTCTCTTACCTTCTCTGGGCAGCTCCACCTTCCTAGTGAGAAGAGTAATTTCCTGTCCTTTTACTCCCACAAGTGACAAGTTCTCTCCTCTTGCTCACATGGAGCAATAGGGTAATCAGCTCAAGGGCTGACACAAGCTGGTGCCTTTTCATTTGACCAGCCTCCTGGGCCAGACTGATCCTCTTTCTCCTCCCTCAGGGACTTTCCTAACTTCCTTCTCTAAACTAAGGAAGCAGCACACACATGCAAGTCCTTCTCTAACAAATATGCTTGGAAAGGCTTTTTTTTTAAAAGCCAAACCTTGGTTTCTGTTGTAGGCGGTACATTCCCCAGCAGGGTGGGGGGTGTGTGTGTGTGTGTGTGTGTGTGTGTGTGTGTGTGTGTGTGTGTGTAAATGTGCGTGTGCCGTCAAAGGGGAGGAGGGAAGTGGGAAAATGGGAGGGAAGAAAAGAGGGAGGAGCAGAGAGATTCATTCATCCACTTTCACAAGTTGTTGGTATATAATGGAGAGTTCTGGCATAGGGAGAAGCCAGAAGTTTCAGAGTGAAGGCTGCTGTAGGGAAAAGCCATGCCAAAGGGAGAAGGCCCAGCCCTGGAACCAGAAACAGGCATGGCAATGCTACAGGAAGGAGGCAGTGACTACAGGACCAATCACAGCACCAGAAGAGACCTAAGGAAGATGAGCCCAGCTGTCACTTTCTGTGCACTCCTGGCTTTCATTCTTGCTGTACTCATGGCCTATCTTCTTGTAGACAACTTCAGATCCCAACAGGAAATGTGTGCAATGGGTCAGGTAAGGCAATCAATGCCTCTGACAGCAGTGTCAGATGGGGAGTAGGTGCTCTGGGTTGGTACCTTCAAAGCCAAGGAGAGGTCCAGTTTGCCAGCTATGGCCCTGGACAAGAAATCAAGAGTTGTAATATTGTGGAGACGCAAGTACTAATGCCAACTGATGGCCCTGAGCATGCCCACTACCTCTGGCTTCTTTTGTTAGCTCATGAAAGGAACCAGAGTGCAGGAGAGTTTCTGGTTTGTGAAGCTTTTCAAGGTTATGATTTTTTTGCCCCTTTACCGTGTATCCATGGGGGAAAAAATAATATCAAGTCCTTCAGCAGTTAGGGGAATCCATTGCTTTTAAATATTCTCTAAGTCCCTTCCATATCTGATACTCTAAGCTTATCTCTATGTGTCCAAAAATTAAATAATTTCTCCTACTCCGTAGATCTTTCTGGTTTCCCTTAAATCCAGCCTAAAGGAAGGTAAGAGAAGAATACAAATTTAGGCTTGCAAATAGCAAAATTATCTCCCAACTCCAGAAAAAGAAATGTTGTTATTCAAGAAATTTTGACCTTGAAAAGAAAAAACAATTTCCTGACAGAAAAAAAAAATGAAGTCAGCATGTTCAGGTGATGATTGATCTTATAACTGTTAAAAGTGGTAAATCTTGGTGAGAAACAATAAGGTTCAAAGAATATAGAGATGGATAGGGTATCATTTATAGTCCAATTCTCTGGAATCTTCTTTTGCCACTTAATGGCTATGCAACCCTGGACAAACAATTTAACCTCTTTTTTCCTCATTTGAAAAATGGGGTAAATCATTCCTATAATACCTCCCCTCACATGATTGCTATGGGATTCAAATGAGAAAATGTATGCAAAGAATTCTACAAACTTTAAAAACCCATGTAAAAGTCAGTTATTATTATTATTGCATATAATGAAATTGAAGTATGGAAAACGTGTATGTGGTCACATTGTGACCACAGAACAGGGATTCAAACCCATGTCCCTTGTCTACTGTGTTCTGTGTCTATGAATTTTCTTTTTTGAAAATTTGTCAGTTCTAGCTAAGCCTGTAAAACTTCAAAGCCAAGAAATGGAGGGCAAAAGCATCATTTGTTTGTGACTGCAGCAGCCCAGATAGTAAAAACAGATAAAAGGCAGACAGAAAACCTGTGTCTATTTCTTGTGGGTCAACCCAACATCTCCGTTCACATTGATCATAACACCAGAATCAAACTTGAGATAAACCCCGTCTATGTTAGATAATAGACCCTATATATGGCACGTCGGTTTCTGAGATGGCAAAAAAAAAAAACCCTTTCATTATATGAGCCATATCTGTATCCAGAAACAATACTATAGTTAAATATTAACTTCTCAAACACTGCATGAAAAGACATTCAGCTCATCCTGTAAAAAAAAAAAAAACCAGATTGTAATACCTATATTATCCACTTCAGAGGGTGTCGTGATTCTTTAATGAAGTGCATCTACAAACCTTTAGACATACAGGGTGTCCCAAAAGTTTTTGCTCAGTTTTAAGATTTAGTGGCTTAATGTCAACAGTTATTATTGTTGTATTATTATTGTATTATTATTATTATTATTGGCAAGAGAAATAGTTTTCCCTCTACTCAGTTTGTCCATTGAAACTGAAAAGAGATCCTGTTACATATAGTCTGAAGCAGATACCAATAGAAAGTTGAGCTAGAAGGGACCTTGTTGAGGACTATTTAATTCATTCTTAGAGAGGAAGAAACGAGGCCCAGAGTGGGCAAGATCACATCAAGAGTTAGTGTTTAGCGGAAGAGTTGAAGGTAGGACCAAGTCTCTTGGTTCCCAGTCTAGAGCTCTTTCTGCTCTACACCCTGAATGTTAGCTTTACTTAGACCAGGGGTGAGGAACCTGGGGCCTCGAGGCTACATGTGGCCTCAAGGTTGCAGGTTCCCCACTCCTGACTTAAACTATGCACTAAACTGACTTGATGAGATGTATGCAGTTTCTAGCTATACTGATATGCTGTGATCCTGCCCAGTCCTTCATCCATAGCCAAATCTCTACAAGATTGAATTGGGAACTTTGGGTTGAAGAAAAAGGCAAGTGACAGCAGTGTCCAATGTGTGTTGGCAATGACCAGAGAGAAGAGGATCTATGAGGAAAGGTACCCAGGACTATCAACTAGAAAAGTGACAGTATAGGGAAATTTTCAGGCTTTGGTTAAGCAAAGAAATATGACTGACTCTCCCTGAGAAAGGAAAAGTGAAAAAGACTTAGGGAGTTGACATATAAAAATGAAAGAGATCTTAGAGATCACCCAGTTCAACCTTCTCATTTTGCAGAGGGGTGGAGATAGCATCCTTCAAAGGAGAAGGGAATTACCCAGATCCAAAAGCAGGAAGAGAGTTCGGAAAATGAAACTAGGTAAACAATACCATCCTGACAAATCCAAATCATTCCGAGAATATTTGAACCAAAGCCTATTAGCCCATGTGCTGTGTACTTTGTTCTCAGACACATCACATAAATAAACTTATTTGATTTTCCCAAGAATTGTGTGAGGTTGTTGTTATTGTTCAGTCATTTTCAATCGTATCCAACCCTTTGTGGTTAGCCATTTCCCTCTCCAGCTCATTTTACAGATGAGGAAACTGAGGCAAAGAAGCTGTTACTTGCTCAAGGTCACAGAGCTAGTAAGTGCCTGAGGCTATATTTGAACTCAGGAAAGTAAGTCTTCCTGACTTCAAGCTCAGCACTCTCAACACTGTGCTACCTAGCTACCCATGAGGTAGGTGATATTATTATCCCCACTTTACAGATGAAGAAACTGAGGCTAAGAGAAGTTAAGTGACTTGCCCAGGGTCACACAGCTAAGCCAAATTTGAAATTAGATCTTCTTGATCCCAGGACCAACATTCTAATTCAGTTTGACACCTAGTTGCCTTCAATCAATCACTACAATCAAAAGAAACCATTTATGCTTTGAACAAGCACTGAACCTAAGAGTTAAAAGGACTAGATTAGAACCCATCCTATCCCCTTCCTTGTTATATAAAATTGGGCAACTCACTTCATTTCTGTTTGTCTCGGTTTCCTCATCCATAAAAATGGGAATAATTCCTGCATTGCCCTGGATTGTTGCAAAGATCAAATGCAATTTGCTATGTAGACATGAGCTATCATTATCTCATCAAAGGCCGAGCCAGAAAGTCAACCATCCAAATGCTGCCACTTATATGTGGGCAAAAATTGTGACCTTTGTTTCCCTGAGAACCTGATAAGGAAGCACACAATCACAGCTCCATTTCCATAGAGCCCTAAGGTTGACAAAGAGTTCTCTTAAAACAACCCTTGGAGATAAGTAGCACAAAGATGATTTTCCCCACATTACAGAAGAGGAAATTGAGGCCCGCAGAGATTGAGAGACTTGCCTAAAATTATGCAGCTAGAAAGCAGCAGAGCCAAGATGGGAATGCCAAGTTCACTTTTATTATCATTTTATCCTCACATAAATATTATGTATGTTACTGCAACATTTACTACTTGATCAAAATTATAGCTACTTCCTCTCTCTGAGCTTCAATTTCCTCAACTGAAAAATGAAGATAATACTTTGTACTCCCTGCCTCTCAAGGTTACTGGGAGGAAAATAATTTGTCAAGTTCAGGAGCTACAGAAAAAGTGCTGTTATCGTTGTTGTTGTGGTTGTGGTTGTGGTTGCGGTTGTGGTTGTAGTTGTTGCTGCTGCTGCTGCTGCTGCTGTTGTTGTTGTTGTTGTTGTTTTAAATTTAGAAAGTAAGCTATAAAGAGCAGCTAGGTGGCACAGTGGATATAGCAATGATCCTGGAGCCTAAGAGGACCTGAGTTCAAATCCAGCCTTAGATGCTTACTAGCTTGTGTGACCCTGGACAAGTCACTTAAGCCAGATTGCCTCAAAAAAAAAAAAAAAAGGTAATAGACTTGGACTCCAAAAGGCCTTATTTTGAATCCTGCTCCAGATGTTTAGTGTCTAAGTGACCCTGAGTCACTAAACTTTTCTAGGACTCAGTTTCCTCATCTATAAAAGGAGAGTGTTGGACTCCATGACCTCTAAGGTCGCCTCTGGCTCTAAATCTATGAACCTATGATTCTACACCAAATGATTTTGTAACTCTCTACCTGCTATTCTAGGTTTAAAACAACAACAACCTAACTCCCAGTCATGTATCCTTTGCACTGTATTACACAGCCCCATTTCCTATCTTTCAGCAGGTAGGAGCTGCCAGAGACAGCAAGTGGGCAAGAACTAGAGATGTCTACCAAGTTAGTGTCTGAGTTGTTTTTCCAAGCTAATTTTCAGTTCAAGCCCTAAGGCAAGCCAACTCAAGCATCTGCAGAATCCAAAGACGGAGCCTAGACTTCAAAACCAAGGCTAAGATTTTGAGAGTCAGCTAGCAATTAGAATCCTATCTCTTGATCAGTCAGGGTATTTCCAGCATTAGGAAGTTTTATTTTCAGTCTAGATGAATGAACAGGAAAGAAATCTTCCTGCCCTTTCCTTCTTCACTACTCCTCCCCATTATGCGTAGGTGGGGATTTAAAAGTAGTCATATTAATTTGTAAGGTAGATTTTTTTTTAATATCTAACTTGTGATTTCATAGTCTTGGAAAAATTGCCTGGGCCACTAACAGATAATGAATAGTAAAAGTAATTTCATGGGGCAGCATGACTATGTGTTAAGCACTGGATTCTATCTTAGGAGACTTATTAAGTGCCTACTCTGAAACAGGCACTATGCTAAGCACTTTGCAAATCTTATCTCATTGGATCTTCACAATAACCCTGGGAAATAGATGCTTATCCCCATTTTGCAGTTGAGGAAGTTGAGGCAGATGGTGATCAAATGACTTGCCCAGGGTCACACAGTTAGTAAGTGTCTGAAGCTGGATTTGAACTCAGTGTTTCCTGACTCCAGGCCAAGTTTTCTATCCACTGCACCACCTAGCTGCCTCTCATATACAAATTGTATCC